TAAAGGGTGTTGCTAGCGTACACACGTGCGTGCGTGAAAGAGAGAGAGAGAGAGTCCTTGACCTGTTTTGCAGCACCTTGGGATGTGAAACTATCATAAGGAAACAGGTGCTCTGGAGCTAAGCAGTGCCCTTTCCATCAAGACGGAATAAGCCCAAACCAGCTAGAGGCAGGATGCCCAGCTCAGAGGGTGCGAGCATCTGGCAGTCTCGGGCACAGGTACCTCAGTTCACGAAGGAGGGCAGGGAGTGGAGACCTCTGGCAGCACATCTGCCCTGCCTACAGAAGTTTGCAGGTTCGATCCGCAGCGACTCCAACAAATCAAAAATAAAACCAGGTCACAGGAAAAAATGCTTTGCCCAAGAGCTTGAAAAACTGCTGCCAGCCAGAGCAAATGACAGCTTTCTGCGTCTTTGTGTACCAAATCATTTACTTTTGTTCTGCTGCATAACTAAGAACTGTCATCATTTGTTCAGACCTTCCCCACAGATGACAGTCATAGCCTCTCTCATAAAAAGGCCTGGAAAGAGGCATGCGCGTGAACATTTAAATATGACCCCAACGCTGTGACTGCCAGGAGCAGTTCCCGGAGTCGCCAAAGGTGCTTCCCGTGGGCTCCCTTTTAGGACCCGGTTTCTTCAGATCAGGTGCATGCATTTTCAGCAAGGGTGGCCCAGTTATAAGACAGCCCAAACGCCCCACCGTAGGCAGCCACAGACGGAGAAATTTTGCCCCCAATGTGCCACTTCTGGAATAGTTTCACTGGCTCAGAAACAGTGCTAGTGGGCAAGCGTCCTTTGGGATGGGTTTGCTCTGCCTCGGGCGAGGGTGGGCTGCTTCGTCCACCGGCTTAGCCATCTCAACCTGGCATTGGAACTTGCAGATCTCTGGGGAAGCATCCGAACACGAAAACAGAACTTTGCAACCGTCTGTTTCTGCGTCCGCTTAACGGCCTCGCCGTGTGTGCAGGCCGGCCACATTTTGGTTTTCACAGAGCGCGTTTTGAGGGCTTTGCCCCGTCCCACTTGTGAGCGAGGCTTTGGGCTTCTTTTGCGTGTCTTGCTTAAGAGGCAGGTCTAGAACACACCGAGTGTGAAACAAGCTTCTTCCATCTGCTATCAGGCACGGTTTTGCTCATGCACCCAGGAGCATTAAAGAATGGGCAACGGGTGAATTCCTCGAGCGAGCTCTTGCCATGTCTGTTTTACCAGGGCGAAGTCTAACCTGTGCTAGTGACCTGCGAACAGTAATTAATTCTGGGTTGATTAGACGGGGAATAAATGAATCAGTAGCCTCCATGCCTCTTTACACGCACATGGAGGGGGTTTTGAGAGCCCACCAGGGCCTTTCCTGTCCAAGGGTGAATATTACTAATGCGGGATAGAAAGGGGAAGTTGCAAGGCCTAAATTACACCCCCCCCCCGCCCAGTGTGATGACCATGTAGCGCTTTGTTTTTCACGTTTGAAAGCAAAATGGATTGCAGGCACCGTGTGTGACCAGCCTCCTCCGCAGGCCGGTCTTGCTGAGTGTTACCGTTTGGCTCAGAGGCACGATTTTGGATGTGGGTGCTTCTCTGTGGCCACTCCGGGGCTGAATTGGGACTTGGGAAGATGCTGGCTGCTCTTGCCGCAGGCCCAGGGGCTAACAAGAAGGGGCAGACAGGCTCGTGGCCTAGCGGGGTGGTTAAGGGGGACCCATGCGTGACGGGACAAGCCGGACCACCCCTTTCCCAAAGCGGCCCTGCCGGGAAATAAGCCGCCAGTGAGGATTTTGAGGCCTCGGGGCCTGCCCTGCTTCTCTGCAAATATAAGTCCGTCGCTTCCCCAGATTGGTTGTCCCACATCGATCTGCTTTCAGAGGGGAAAAGCGGCCCCCGATCTTGAACAAGCCCTTTAGCGTGTCTCTTGCTTTCCTCGGCCTCAGCGGACACAGCCAGTTTCTACTCTCCCCCTTCCTTGTGACGTCCTTTTAAACATTTGGAAGCCGCCACTCCTTGGCCTACAGGAAGACGGGCAATGCGACACGTTCTGTTCTCATCAGGGCTGGCCCTGGAGCCGACATGCCACACGGCCAGCGCTTGACCCGCGGGGCCTCCAAGGTCACCCGTCCTTCGGGGAGGGGTGCTCCTCTTGCAGGCAGCTTTCTGCAGGAAGAGAATGGAGTAGGGCGGATAAGATCCGGCCAAGTGACTGGCGGGGCTGGGGAGCGACTGCAGGGAGCAGAACGGATCCCGGGCTCCGCCTCAGCCCCAGGACCCGTTTAGGGTGAACGAGCCTTGTCTCTGCAAGGACTGTTCCCCTCTTCCTCCCATCCAGAATACCCCCCTTTAAGGGCAGAAGGTTCGGGGCCAGATTGGGGCACCCCACTGGCGAGATGAAAGTGCTCTGGGGCCTAGACTCTCGAGCCTCGTCTCTGCAAGGACCATTCCCCTCTTCCTTCCATCCAGAATACCCCCCTTTAAGGGCAGAAGGTTCGGGGCCAGATTGGGGCACCCCACTGGCGAGATGAAAGCGCTCTGGGGCCTAGACTCTCGGCATTCCTCCAAAGGGAGGGACAGGCGCTCTGCTTGGGTGCCAAATTGGAGCTCGGCAGCCGCAGGGCTCCCGGCTGCGTCCCGTCACGGAAAACACGAGCCACCCCGCCTCCGCCCGGCGCGCCAAGGCCAGCTCAAAGCACACCCCAAACAGGGTGTGTGTGTGTGTGGGGGGGGGGGGGAGCGCACGCTGGCAGTGCCCCCTGGCGCCGCTTTCTCCTCTCCACCCACCTCCCCGCTTTGCTCATTTCCTCGCTGTTTATCTTCATTTCCGATCAATAAGGAGAAGCCAAGTGACTGAAACATTGTTTCAGAATGAATTACTGCGATTGCCGCCGGGTGCCAGGAGGTGGGGGCAGTGAAGGGCCCGGGATGGGCGGTCCCTGCACTCCCAACAGGGGGCGCCCTCCAAGGGCCAGCTGGGGGCTTTCATTAGTTGCACTCCTCGATCACGCCGGGTCAGCCCTCGGTTGGGCCTGGCTGCCCTGCGGGTTAATTGGGTTGAACGAAGGCATCTCAGGGAAATCATCCTTAACGAGGAACCAGAGAGCAGGAGAGAGACTGTGAGAGAGGGTGGGGGGGCGATGAACTCTGGCACTGGCGGAGCAAGAGTCGTCCAAAGCGGGCGTGGAAATGTGGCAGCGCTGCTCATGGGGCGGAGTGGTGGAGCCCAAGCAAGGGAGCGGGCAGAATCGGCGGCTGGGCCCAGCTCCAGCTTCTGCTTTCATTGGCAGAGCTTAATCTGGAACGTAGGAAAGAAGAGCCAAGCGTTCCCCTGGGCATGTGCAGAGTGCCCTTCTCACTGACGGACGACGGGGCTACGGAGAAGGGGTCCTGAGCAAGATCGTGGTGTTTCCAGCTCCATGTGGTTGTGACCTCCTTTTTTCTTGAAAGGAATTGCTAGCCAGGCAGGCAGGAAATACGTTCTGGAGGGACTTGTGGGCACGATAAGAGGATACTCCAACTGATGAGCTGTTAACCCAGCAGTGTGGTCAAGGGTCCTAGAACAGAGAGGATGATGGGACTTCCGTGCGTCCTCCGTGACCCAAATCAACGACAGCCGCCACTTCGCATTTTGCCCGCTCCACGAGCGTGGTCGAAATACCTTGCTGAAACCCCATCATGTTTGCCGGGCTTCTTGTATCTCTCCGTTCCCAGAGGGGAAGGTTTGGGGATGAATTATCCGACAACACCCTTGCAAACATGCACACGCCGGCGGAGGCTGTATCTCGGCTTGTTCTGCCCTTTCCTGTGTCTGCGTCTATCTCTCTGTCCGTCCGTCCGTCCGGCGCTCCATCCATCATCTTCCCTCTCTTGTCTGCAGGGCAGCCTGAGGAGCCGGGCCTGAGGGGAATGTAAAACAGACGCACAGGCGGGAGAAAGCGAGAGCAAGAGGGAGGGATGCAGGCAAGACGGGAGGATAGATAAATAATCTACACGGATGGACGGATGGCTGGGCAGATGGCTTAGATGAATAGTTAAATGCCGTCCGTGGACAGGTTGTTGATGGGCAGGTGGAAGGCGCGGTGGGCATATTGAAGATCTCTCTGGACGGATGGATGAATGCCAAGCGGGTGTTTAAGGAGACGGATGGATGCTTTAAAGGGGAGTGCAGGGAGGCGAGGAAGGAGGAAAGGCGAGGTGCGGAAAAGCGAGTTTTGTGGTGGTGGTCCTGGTCAAAACGTGGCACGCAGGGGCAAGCGACTGTTGGCGTAGTTCTCCATGAGGACCAGCCGCTTGGTGAGTGACTGTGCATTGATGGGGAAGCACAAAGAGCTGGGGCTTCCCTGGGCAAGAGGGGAGAACTCTGAAGTCCCAAGGGGCCCATTTGGCAAGCTGAGTTAAGTGGTGGGCGGGCAGGGAGCGCTGGTCCCCAAACAACTCACTCAGGTTTAGTGTTCGCGCTCAGCTTCGGCGACCGAATCCAGACTGCCTCTCCCTGTTAGCTTCCTTCCACTTCTTGATTCAGAGCAGGCCGATCCTCACTTCACCTGAGAGGGACAGGTTCAGATTCTGAATCGAGCAATTCTCCGTCCCAGAATGGACTCGGCAGAGCCCAGAGGGAAGCATGGAGTGCAAGAACGACCAATCAGACCAGTTTACCTGCACAGGGCAGCGTACCTGTACTAGGTAAACCTGCCTCCACCAAAGGCATACATTTCCCCCCCGACAGCCGAGTCGCACCTCTAGCCTCTGCTTCTTTCTTTCCCATTTCTGGCACCACCAGATAAAAGGCAGGCTGGGGATTGGGGCCGTACCCTGTACTAGGAGTTATCCGTATGGTTCCGTCCTTGACGTGGGGAGTGGGAGACGGCGAGATCGGATGAGTGCCACCCGTCCTACCGGGTGCCTGATATCGGGCCTGTCCCTCTTCTTCCAGACCCACACAGATGGGGTAGCCGGTCCCCATGGGCAGCGTGGATGAGCCGTGCCCGCCACCGCAGGAGGACTGAACTGCCGCGACGCCATGGCCAGCTTTCTGCAGCTGCTCCTGGCCTGGCTGGGGGGGTGCGGCTGCGCGGGCCGCCTCCTGCCCCTTGGCGAGGGAACCAGGGCCGGCTCCTTCCAGGGAAACATGTCTCAGCGCTGGGAGCGGCCCCTGCTGAGGTCCCGTCGCAGCTGGGTCTGGAACCAGTTTTTCGTCATCGAGGAGTATGCCGGACCCGAGCCCGTCCTCATCGGCAGGGTGAGCCCCTGAAAACGCGGGCCGAGCGTTTGGCGAGGGCAGGGGGCGCGATCGGGTGGGATCGGGCTGCCAGCATCCGTGGGACACATCCCCCCTTTTCACCCTTCCTTTTCCTAGGCCCTGGCCTGTGCCCCAATTCCCTAGGCTCGGGGTACAGAGCCCCGCTAATAATTAGGGTGCTGCGCCAAGCAGCTTCGTTAGCTCTCCTGACACTGCCCCGTTCCGTCCTCCCGGCTCTCCTTGCCCGACAGCTTCACACGGACGTGGACCGTGGCGAGGGCCGCATCAAGTACGTGTTGACCGGGGAAGGGGCAGGCACCGTCTTCGTGATCGATGAGAAGACGGGCAACATTCACGTCACCAAGACGCTGGACAGAGAGGAGAAGGCGCAGTATACGCTGCTGGCCCAAGCGGTGGACCGGGCCTCCAACCGGCCCCTCGAGCCCCCGTCTGAATTCATTATCAAAGTCCAAGACATCAACGACAACCCCCCGGTCTTCCTGCACGCTCCCTACCATGCCACTGTGCCCGAGATGAGTAACGTGGGTGAGTTTAGCGGGGAGGCCTCTGGCGTGGGGCTCGTGGACCCCCGGCGAGGTTCCTGGCTCCTTCTGCGTTTCGTTTCTTACCTCCCGCCTCCCAAATCATTTTAGTTTTAGCTGGTGGGGGTACGATGCTGCAAAGCCAAAGTTAACACCTTCTACAGGAGGTCGTTGAGGCCCCATCGGTGAGGGTGTTCAAAGATAGGCTGGACATGCACATGGTGGGCATGTCATGAGTGAAGCTGGTTGGAGACGGGGGTCAGACTAGATGGCCTGAGGAACCCCTTCTGACTTGCTCTGTTTCTATGTTTCTATATGGGTCGAAAAGCATTGTTTTCTTTTGGAGCTCAATTTCCACCTCAGCCTTGTACTTCTGCTATAATCTCAACAATTTGACTCCTGGGAAATGTGTGTTTCTTTGAGCAGCCAAGGTGGCCATTTTATGGATAGGCGACTCCCCTCCACCTGCGATGCTGGCCATTTTGTGAGAGTGCCCGGGACGCTTTCTGAACCTTCCAGAAGGGTCTGCCAATGCAAAAATATTAGTGATCCCTGGCTAATGGGGGAATTCTTATTTGCTGGCTCAATCGTAAGAGTGGCACATCCTACCTATTTACACGTAGGAAGCTTTAATATTGATTGGAAGGAGGGAAACGTCCCGTTTTCTTGGATTTGGGGCAAGCCCAGAGTTCAGCCTGTTGCCTTAGCATTCCCCCCCCAGCCTCCTCCCTTTCCTCGCTATTTCCCCACTCAAGAGAAGATGGAAACTGGAGAACCAATTCAGCAGAACCAATTCTTCCCCATCCTCTCTCCCCTGTGGAAAAAGACAGAGCTGAGTTCAGACAACACTAAAACACACGCCCAAGGATTGAGACTGGGTTGAGTGTGTGTACTTGTTGAAATGTGGGTGTTCAGACAAAACCTACCACAAGTCAGGGGTTGTCAGCGTAGCTTATAAACCAAACTTAAGCCACTCTGAAAAAACCATTGTGGGTTTGCATGACATGGCAAGCTACCCTGGCTTATAAACCATGGCAAGTTTTCATGTTGTGTTCCAAATAACTAGAAGTGTTCCAGACAGACAGACAGACAGACAGATAGCAGAGATGTGAGGGAAAGCCAGCCAGCAGTACGAGCCCCATTTGGAAATTATCTCCTGTATTCTAGCATTGTGTTGGGAGCTGTAAAGTGCCGGGTTAACTGACAAGCCCCAGGCCTCTATTTTTAATGTTATCAAACTATATTACATTGCATTATTGTTGAATATAAGACAGTTGCTGGGGAGAGTCCGAAGCAGAAGCGGAGGAAACCAGCTACAAGATGCTGGTTGGAACCAACCGCAGCCGAGCAGGGCTGTCAAGGATAGGGGGGCCACCATAAGTCGGGGATGACTTGACAGTGTGTCACAACACCAACCAACAACAACACAACAGCTTCAAATCTGTGAAGCGATTTGCATTGCGCCTTTGACTTGTTCTGTGAGATTGAATGTTAGTCCTTCTTCAAGTAGACCGTTCCAACGACTGGCACAAGGCCGTCCTGAGTCACTTAAGGCCCTTCTGATTCAGTGGGTCTACTCTGAGTAGAACTAACACGGGACACAATCCGCCTGTCCTTTTAGGCCCTCTTCCCAAAAGTGCCAGCTTTGGCCTACGTCATTTCACAAGCCGCACCTCCAGTGTTGTGTCTCTCAGACTTTTGGCAGTGTGGGATGAGGTTTTAATGCGGTCCTGGAGTTTTCTTTTCGATCCTTGGACAAATGCGTCTCCGTGTGTGAACGATGTTTACAGGTTGGCATGAAATGGATTTTTACACTGAGTGTCATGTTATTTTAAATGCTTTTACATCTTCGTAAACCACCCAGAGAACTTCAGCTATTGGGTGGTATAGAAATGCGATAAATGAAATGACATTCCGGAAATGGGGCACCCTTAGGACGGCCCAGCCCTGCTGCTGGTCCTTGGTTCGACTCCCAGCACCCTGGGATAAGGAGGGTGTTCACGCCACCCTCCCGCTGCCACGGCGGTTCTGCCTCTGCCCCTCAGCGGTCCATGCAGATCCCTCGGGGCACGATCCAGCCGAGGCACCTCGCTACAGAGTCAAGGATTCTCAAGATGAAACTAAATGGCTTGGTGTCAAGGCTGATATACAGTTTATTAAATGCTGTGATGAAATATGGATGCAGAATATAAACACGAGAAAGCTTAAATTCCCCTTATCTGTGGCTGTACTGGTTCCCTGAAGAGGCATGGGGATGCTCCATGGGCCTTCAGGGTTGCCGGAGCAAGCGATGCGTCAATTCCTATTCCCAGTCAGAGAACAAAAGACAATGCTATGGATTTTATGCAGTTTCTCTTCCCCCGTTTCAGAGGCTGGCAGTACACACAGGCCCTAACACCGCCGCCCCACTCCCTTGGAAGACAGGGAGGGACAAAGCAGCTTGAAGGAAAGCAAACAGTTTTAGTTCTCGCAGCAAAAGCAGCTCTTATCTAAGGAGCATACTTGGGGAAATCAACTCCAAGGCAATTATCTCTGGTGTCCTTCCTAAGAAGCCAAAGGCTGTAAGACCTTGGCTTGCCTCCAAAGAACAATTCCACCCTTTTGGTTGCTGGGAAAGCTCATTGCCCTGAAGAGCTTAATAAATGCCTTGCTTGTCTTCCGGAAGAGTCCATCCAATACAAGCATCTCCTCCTCATAAACCTCCCTTTCAATTAGAGTAGACTCCCAACTATCCCGCCTCATGTGGCACGGAAGGGCAGGCCGGATGGCAAAAAAGCCAGATAGGCCGGAGTTCCATAAATGCTCACTTCCTACCCCACCCATACCATTAAAAACACCCTTTTTATACCAAAACCCGCTCCTATTCATATTTTCTGACCTCTTAGTACAGGCCAGTACTTTATAAATGTTTGTTATGTACCGTACTGTATGGTTTAAAAATTTATTACCGAAAAAGGAAGTCCAAGGATAAAAATGTTGTACACATTTTAAGATAAATTTTATAATATCTAACAATTGCAGGAAACATAAAATCATGTACACTGTACAGTATGTATACATACACTTTTAAAATAAACAAAACATTAACGTAAAACGTAGGCTTAATTCTTACAATAATTATTTAAACTTATTTTACTGTTCATTGATAGTTATTTTTTAACTAGGCCGGATAGTACAGAGGCCGGATAGTCACGAGCCGGATAGTTGAGAGTCTACTGCATAAAGACCGTATGGCAAGCTAAATAATTCCACCTTTTGCCCAGGAGTCTTTGGGGACGTAACGCCTGCACCCTGACCGGCAGGAGCAGCAGCCAAAGCGCCCTCTGCTGCAAAGCACTGCATTCTAACTGATAGTACTTGTATGCCACTTAGTACAGTGAAATCTCTAAACCAAAATATGTGTTCTCCTCGGATGCCACTTGTGGCTTTGCGGCCTCGGCAAGTTGCTGCAGGGAGCTGGAAGCCCACACACACACGACGGACACATTTGGACCCACCAACCAAAATGGGCCACCTGAAGAAGCCCAGAGAACGTTCCAGGAATTGTAGGAATGTAAGATTTGTTGTAAAGCACCCAGAGGGCTTTGGGTGTTGGGAGGTGTAGAAATTAAGCAATCATAAATTGTAAGAAAAATAAAACCTGGACCAGACCAAGAGTTCATCTAGTCAGGCATCCCACCCATCTGTCCAGGCAAGGCTTCCAGTTTTTCTTGAATTAAAACTTGGAGGTGTGTGTTGATTCCTACTGCACAAAGAATTGCTTGGTCTTGGGGAAGGCCATTCCCTCTCAGAAAAATCCACCCCTCTGTGCTGCTACAGGAATGGCTGATTTAGGCAGGCTTGCCCAAGCTGAACAGGGACTCATGCAGGGCATAGCAGGTAGACTCCTCTCAAGAGTTTTTCCTCTAAATCACAACGTGGTGAGGCGCTTCAAGGCTCTTTTAGGGCTCTGACCCACCACCCATTCAGAGCACAGGTGTGCTCACGTCCCTTCCTCCATCTCTCTCCCTCTGCTCTGCTTCCGCAGGTACATCTGTGATCCAGGTGACGGCCCACGATGCAGATGACGCTGCGTACGGGAACAGCGCCAAGCTGGTCTATACGGTACTCGAGGGGTTGCCGTTCTTCTCCGTCGACCCCCAGACGGGTACACAACTGGGGGGGCAGATTTGGGGTGGAGGGTAATGGCACAGGTGCCACCCCAGTCTCGAGGAAAGGAATAACTGGGGTGGGAAGGAATCGTGGTATGCTCCTTGGGATTGGGACCTACTGGCGGATTTCTGCTCCTGGTTGAAGAGCTCCGTAGGGGCTGTCCTCGCACTGGAAGCCTTCACTGATCTGGTGAGGTGTCCAGTCCAAATCCAGACGCAGGGCCACATGGCACGTGGCCAACCCTCTGCGCTAGGAGGAAAGTGGCATGACTTACGCAGATTTCAGCCGTCCTTTCTCAATCGGCCGCTCTGCCTGTGCGCTGCCGAGCGCACGTGTTCTGCTCAGTGGCTGCCCTTTGTCCTCTTCTCAGTGACGTTTATTTATTTATTTTTTAAAACATTTCTATGCCGCCCCATTCGCCGAAGCCCCGGGGCGGCTCACAACATAAATTAAAATACAAGAAGTAACAATATAAAATGTTCCGTGTCCTTTTGGTTTGCCAATGCGAAAGTGGCTCCCTGGGAGAGGATGACAGAGACGCTGCCTGCGTCCTTGTGTGTGGCAAGAGGCACCTTCAGGGGAAAACACAACTGCCTTCTTTGCATTTTGGGAATGTTGCTTTAGTAGACCACAGCAAGATGTGTTTGGGAATGAAGGTGGCTAGGCCAAGAGGCCAGACCGCCACGAAAGGACCAGCGCTATCCAGGGGTGAGGAGAGTTGTACTACAAAGAGACTTAAATTCTGAAAGGGCCGTCTAACCTCTACATAGCCTTGTTCCTCGCCAACCAGCACACATACCTGGTCACCCATGAAGAGCTAATTTCATTAACTTTCCCTCTATATATCTGCCTTTGAATTGTGATCGCGTGAGCCTACAGACCACAGAACGGTCGAATCAGGTTTGCAGCTTCTCCAGCCAGCTCGGTCCCCTTAACTGGTCTCCAGCTTCATCCGCCTTCCCCTCCACCTGTCTTGAGGTGGGGCAACCTGAGATGATGGAGGGGAAATCTGTGGGTGGGGAGACGCCACCTGTCCCTACCAGTCCTTCAGCCATTGTCTCTCTTCCTCTCTCCCCTACTCTCTCCGCACGGTGGTAGGAGTGATCCGGACGGCTACACCCAACATGGACCGGGAAACACAACAGGAATTCCTCATTGTGGTGCAGGCCAAGGATATGGGGGGCCACGCAGGGGGCCTTTCCGGAAGCACAACTGTCACAGTCACGCTTAGTGATGTCAACGACAACCCACCCCGCTTCCCGCAGAGTGAGTAGGAAGGGCCCAGTGAGCACTGGGCCTCGGTTGTTACAGCTGTTCTCTCGGTGTGGAAATGGCTCTTTCCTGACTGGGAGAGACGGGGTACAATATACCTATTGTAGGAGTTGCCTAGGCTAATACGGGTTTTAACAAAGCTTTGAGGACGGTGCAGAAGTGGCTGAAGCGGAACAAGGAGGTCCAGATGGAGCAATCCTTCTCCTTGCAAATTTTGCAGATTGCCTGTTGGTTTACTAGATTTGTGCTTGTCGAAGTCTAACAGTGTTGTCCTATAAATAGATTCATGCATTCATAGAATAGTAGGGCTGGAAGGGGCCAAGGAGGCCATCTAGTCCAGCCCCCTGCTGTTGCAGGACACCAAGGTACACCACCCCACTCAGATGTCTGTCCAGCTTCCTTTTGAATGTCCCCAGTGTGGGAGAGCCCCCCACCTCTCCAGGCAGCTGGTCCCACTGTCCTCTTGCTCAGACAGTGAGGAAGCTTTTCCTGATGTCCAGCCTGAATCTGGGTTGTCACAACCTGAGTTGATTATTCTATGTCCTGCACTCAGGGATGAGTGAGAAGCAATCTTTTCCTTCCTCTGTGTCGGCAATTGAGGTACTATAAGTAACATGTAATAGTTAAGGGGATTGAAGGTTGCAGGTTTGTAACTCAGAACTTGGTAATACTAAGAATTTTAAATGTATTTTGATATATTATTACAAAACTCATAAGTACAAAATTCACATACAGCAAAGCATTCAGTAATTTCCTGAATGTTATGGTACTGATACCATAATCATTAACAAATATGTAACAGGCAAACAGATATGCACACATAAGCATCCAAATAAAGAATAATATAACCTCTTAAACCAGCTGCAGAAAGGAAATGTCATATACAAGATTCAGCATATAATATGTTTTAGAAATGCAGTTATGAATTAATGCAAAACGTAACAGCATCTTCTGTATCAAGTTGTGTGGGGACTTCCAGGAACAGGGAAATTAATGTCTCCCTTCTACGGAATACTGAAACTCCTGTGGAAATCCACCTGGGAATTGTCCAGATTCCTAGAGGGGTTCTGAGCAAGATGCCGGTGGCAGTGAAGGATCCCCGAATCAGTCATTGTCCCCTCAGTTGTTTGTCTGCAAGAGCTTCCCTGAAATGCAGTTCGACCCCCTGACTGAGAGGTTCCTCACCCCAGTGTCGCTCAGTCCCATTATTAAGCCCCTTCTCTCACATGTTCATGCCTCTTCCCTGCATCTCCTGCCCTCTTTCCAACCTCCAGGCTCCTACCAGTTTTCTGTGGTGGAGACTGTACCCCCGGGCTTTGCAGTGGGGCGCTTGCGAGCACACGACCCCGACGAAGGGGAGAACGCCCTGCTGGCCTACCGCATCTTGGACGGAGGAGACGGAGCCGAGGCCTTCTCCATCCACACGGACGCCCTGGGTCAGGATGGGATCATCACTGTGAAGAAGGTTGGTGGGGGAGACCCCTTCCCACCCAGCCCCTCCGTAGGGACCCCGATCCCTCTTCTCTCCTTTTCCCAGAGACCCTCTGTCTGCCCTCTGGGTGGGCGCGGAGGCCGATGAAGAGGCCGAGCAAAGGGAGCGCACCGGCTCATGCAACAGCACCCGTGTGGTCGGCAGCCTCGGAACCTGGGTTTGACCTCACTCGGAACGGGCTACATATGGCTCCCAACCCATCAGAGGCAGGCTGAATCCGGCACCCTCCCATCCAGGGCCATCATTTCAGCCTCACAGCAGCGGCTTTTTAATTTCCTTTTTCCCAGAAGAAGAGGAAATTCTTCTGTCATTCACAAAGAGAGTGGCACCAGCTTTTCCCACCGTGTTCCGACTTCGCCGCCTGGCCAAACTGTTTTCTTGTGTTTTCTGCTCCTCTCCTCTCCTTCCTGATATCAAACCCCCTCCCTCCCCACCGCAGCCCCTGGACTTCGAATCCCGCCGTTCTTACACCTTCCGAGTGGAGGCCACCAACACGTTGATAGACCCCCAGTACATCCGCAAGGGCCCCTTCAAGGACGTGGCCACGGTCCGCATCAGTGTGGAGGATGCGGACGAGCCCCCGGCCTTCTCCCGCCCCGAGTATCATCTCGCCGTTTACGAGAACAGCCCGCCGGGGACCCTGGTGGGCAAAGTGACGGCGGTGGACCTGGACTCGCCCAGCAGCGCCATCCGGTAACGGCAGTCGGGGTGGGAGAACGGAGTGTCTGTGTGCGTGTTTGCAGTTGCTGCATTTATACCTGGTTGCCATGACAGCCTGATACCCCAGGTTCCCCCCATCTTCTAGATACTCCATCCTCCCGCACACGGACCCCGAGCGCTACTTCAGCATCAATCCCCAGGATGGCACGATCCTAACTTCCATGCCTCTTGACCGGGAGGTGTTGCCATGGCACAACGTTAGCGTAGTGGCAACCGAACTTGGTAAGGGTCAGGTGGGCTTGGTTTCGTGGGGTGGCCGGGGGTGGAGGCAACCCACAAAGGGGTGTGTGGGGAGCATCGGCTTCCATGCGTGGGTCAGAGTTGCTCACAAGTAAATTTATATTTTAATACAGATTTGTGTGTATTGGCAAAGTGCACCGAAGGCAAATATTTGCTCATTTATACTCTCTCTCTCTCTCTCTCTCTCTCTCTCTCGACGTGACGTTCTGTGTGGCCGCTGCTTGCTCTGGCTGCGTTCTTTTCTCGCTGCTCTGTGCCACGCCTTCGTCTCCCTTCCGCCGGTCTTCACGCTTGGCCCGTGTGCTTCCTCGTCATCCGTTATCACTGGGCGTGTGGGGGCATGCGTTTCCCTCGCATGGCCTTTGTGTGGGACCGGTGCCCTGGCCGGGGGTGTGCCTTGTGTTTTGCTGCTGTTTTGCACATGTGGGGTTGTGCACCGGGCCGTTCACGCATGCTTCATGCACGGCCACAAACGCCCCGGTCATGCCTCACGTATCCCTTTCTGGACACCGCCTTGGCCTTGCCATTTTCATGCCCCGGGGGGCACTCACTCTCGGCCCGGGGGCTGCCGTTTCGTCTTTTTGTCTGCCGCCGCCTTGGTGCCAAATGACGGGGGCCTCGCCACGAACGGCACGCGGTCCGCGCATCACGTGGAAACGCTCCGGTGATGCTTTGCATGGCTTCCCTCTGCCCCATCCTCCTCCCGCTCCCCGGGATCTTGGTTCCTGGCGTGTGGGTCATGCGTCCCGTGCGCCGGCCGTGTGCTGCCCGCATGCCGTTCCCCGGCGCAACCGTGGCACATCACACACGGCTTCCGTGTGGCTTCCCACCTCCCGCTCTTGCTCTCAGACAGCCCTGCACAAGCCTCCCACGTCCAAGTGGCCATCCAGACCCTGGATATCAACGACAATCCGCCCCAACTGGAACATAGCTATGACCCTTTTGTCTGCGATAGTGCCGTCCCAGGCCAAGTAAGTGCTTCCCAGGATTTAGGAATTGACTGGGCGCGGCGGGCCAAAGCCAGAGGAGGCAGTGCTGATACAGCGTGGGTTCCTTTCCCCCTTCCTCCTGGGTCCATGACCTGTTCCTCTCCCTTCTCCTGCCAGCTGGTCCAACTGATCCGGGCTATAGACCGAGACGAAGATGGGAACGCGAGTCGTATCATCATCCGCTCCCCGCTTGGAGTGAGGGAACCAAACGTCACTGTGCGAGACAACAGAGGTGAGAAATAGCACCTGTAGATGCCCCTGTTGGCCTGGGCACTTTAAAATAATTTCCCCCAACCCTATGGACTAGCCACTTGGGCTGCTTTTAAAACGGAAAAAAATAAAATGGAATTTCTCAATGCAGCTATTTCTCCAGAAAGGCTAGCATTTGTGCAAAGACACACAGTGCTGAGTTCTCTTTCTGTCTAGTCCCTGCAGGCCAGCTCCCTCCTCAGTTTTAGGGTGTTTCCTCTACATGGGTGCCTACCAGCCCCAAGGCATTATGCAGCTATTTTGTCTGGCACATAGAGCCTTTCAGGTGGAAAGAACAAAGACAGAAGAAGTGGTGGAAGAACATGAAGGGGTTATAGATCAAACAGCCAACCACCAGATCCCCCCACCACCTTGTCTGGAATGGCTCTTAACCTTTAACCATTGCCTTGGTGAGAAAGGAAGTTAAATTGCACTGAAGGCTCATTAAAAAGACCATACGAACATGGTTGCGTGTATTCCTTGCTATGGAGACGGCTCATATATTTTAGCTGGCCGGGACCTTTCAACATTTATCCGAAAAAGGCCCGAAGCTCACCCTTCTCTCCTGAATCTTCCCTTCCCAGATAACTCGGCCTCTCTGCTCCTCCGTGCCGCCCGCCTGCCGGCCCAAGGCAGGTCCCTGATGGTGCCGCTGGAACTGGTAGACGGGGGCTCCCCCACCCGGACGGGCTCCCCCACCCTGACAGTGAGCATCTGCCGGTGCCGGCGAGACGGGGCCATGTCCTCCTGCGGCCCCGAGGCCCTGGGATCTCCCGCGGGGCTCAGCACCGGTGCCCTGCTTGCCATCCTGGCCTGCGTCGGCACGTTGCTTGGTGAGCAAGGGGTCCCAGATGGGCGTTAGGGGTGGGAACGGTCAGGCCTGAAGGACAGGGGTGGCTTTCCAGACTGGTGCAAATGTACAGGACATTGCAGCAGAGTCTCAGCAAACTGTCCATCATAGGGCCCCCCAACCAGTAAGAAAAGAAGGTTTAAAACAGGAAGGTGGCTTCTAGAAGCGGCATGAGCGAAGTGCTGAGGATCCTGGGGCCGGGGTCCGAACAGAAAAGTGAGGGTCTCTCTGGAAGCCCATAGAGCATCTTCCTTCCCCACTGGGTGCTTTCCAGATATGCTGGACTGTAATTTCCATCATTCCGTAACGGTTCCAGCTTAGGAGTGTGGAAAGGCTTGGCCTTAAGGGTGGGTGTCCAAACTGAAGACCGGGCTTCTAGCAAATGGACAAGCTGTACCGAGGTATTTGGGAAGGGTGTGCCAAAGTTTAGCTCCACCAGTGACCTCAGAAGAGATGTTGGGAAAGAAGCTGCACTGGAGGATATGTATGCGAGGCATTCTCTGCAGTGCAGAGTTTCTTCTGAGGTGCAGCTGGACACATTTTGTGCAATTGTAAAAAAAAAAAAATTACCAGCAGAAACGAAGTTATTGTGTAGTTGGGAATAGGAACTTCCATGTGTCTGCTGTTTTCCATTTTTAAAATGCTGGGAAGTGCTCATGCATTGCAGATGGAGGCGGATGGTGGGGTTTCACCAGATTCTTCTGCAGCTAAAAATAATGCTTCGCAAGAGCGGCGCCAAGTACCAAAAAGATCCAGAGCTCAGATCCACGGGGGCGGGTGGGAGGGGGCACAAATTCGCCAATGCTAATTTACATAAGCCTTAACGTCTGTATATGCATCTTTAAGGGCTCTTTCCTCTTAAGGATGGCCTGATTTATGAAAAGGGATGCATGGAGAGGGATTTGATTTTGGACATAAATCCCAGGCAGAGCGATGCCAGCGCGGGTCTGGGGCGGGGGAGTGGCGAGCGGCCCCGTCCTTGCCACAACCTCCCCGCCGCAAGCCCGCCGGGCCAAGCCGGCGCCTGGGGCGAGGCCCTGATGGCGCCCCGCGGTTGCCCAGCTATCCCTCGCGGGGCCCTTTGCAGTCCCCCGCATGCTTTGCGGCGATCTTAAATTCGCCCTAAATTCGGTGTGTTCCGCGTGGCTTCGGCACGGCTGCAACCCGCCCCGCCAGCTCCGGCTGCGCGGCGGCCTAGGCAGGCAACGCGCGGGGCCGGCGCTGGGCGGGAAAGCAGCGGCCCCGGGCGCACCGGCCTCGCGGAGCCGCCGGGGGGGGGGGGCGCCCGTGCAGGGCCGGGGCGGCCTCGCTAACCTCTGCCCTCCCCCTGGCTTCCCCCCCGCCCCCCGCCCGCCAGCGCTGGTGCTGCTGTTCGTCGCGCTGCGGAGGCAGAAGCAGGCGGCGCTGCTGCCCTTCGAGGAGGAGGACGTCCGGGAGAACATCATCACCTACGACGACGAGGGCGGCGGCGAGGAGGACACCGAGGCCTTCGACATGGCGGCGCTGCAGAACCCCGACGCCGCGCCCGCCGCCGCGCCGCCGCCGC